TTATTATTATTAATATTATTATTATAATATTATTATTATATAATTTATTATTATTATATATTATTATTATTATATTATTATTATTATTATTTATTACTATTATTATTTATTATATTATAATAATAATTTAACATGAAACTTTCAGAAAATAATTTCTACAAAACCTGTTTATCTTTTTCGACAATGATGACGTCCTCCTCCTCACCAGAAACAAGAACGCAAGTTGAAAACGACGAAACCAAAGTATTCACTAACAACTCGTGAGCTAGCTGATCTAACTTCTGCTCGTAGTATTGGGAATACCACGATCCCCTGGGGCCCAGTCTAAAAATAAAGAAATTTTAAGTGTGAAAAAAGTAAGTAAGATGGTTCTGAAACCAAACTAGATAAGACACCAACTTAACAAACCAACTAAATTACTAAACAAACAAAAATTACTGAATGTCATATAAAATTTGGGGTTAGGGAACTTTTATTAAACGAATAATTGCTGACTTTAGTTAAGACTTTAGTCTAAATTTAAACTTCAGATTCTAAAAAAACTTTAGAGTCTAAATCTAAACTCTAAAGTTTAGACTTTAGTTTAGACAAGTAAATTTAATAAATTTTATTAGTTTATTAAAAAATAATAAAAATATGATTTAAAATCGGGTTACATCTGTGAAAAACCGCTTTTCCTGACTAGATTGGAAAGTGCTTTCACGCCAATCTGGATGGCGTTCATGAGTCTCGACAGGTCCCCAAACTTCTCTGGGTTGCTTTGCTGCTCGACCAGGATGTACTTGGTCAGTGTTACCCCAGTTGTCAGTTTATCGAAGTAACTACTTCGAGACATTCTGCTCGATTGTATTATTGATATATATAATTTGATAAATTCCTAACTCTGACGGACTGTCGAATCTTATTTCGTTGTCATCTTTTAACTTGCGTCAGTGAATTGTTTTTTAACGTTTCAAACTTTTTCACTTTTAGCTACTTATGTCTAAAAGTTAATTTATTTTAGTTAATTTAACAATTTTATATTCAAAAGTGAAAATAGAAATAATGCTTTGAAAAGTTTTTTAAAAAATAAAGCAAAACTATTTGCATGTCGAAAAATTATTTTAAAAAGTAATTTAAGCACCAGATTGTTGGCCCAACTTGATGACTATCCGATGATTTATAACATCCTTTCGTACTGAATTCCTTAACGAAACCGTAAATTTTCGTTTTATTAGAATTATTTTTTTAAAAATAACTAATTTTTAAATTAAAAAACTTCCAGAAATGATGATTTTGAAGACAAAAACGCAATGCCGGTATTACAATCTGGTTCAGTAATATATAGCGACATCTATAAAAACCATCAATTTTTCTATTGGTCAGAAATCAGCTGATTCATAATTTTAATCAGCTGACTTTCACTTTAAACTTTAAAATCCAGTAAAAAAAGGCAAAAATAATCACAAATTATCTAATTTAGTTCAATTATTACCTCCATTTTGTTAGGCAATGTACAGATTAAAAAATAAATTTAGAATAAAAAAAGATTGCTAACCTTCTATAGGCCAATAGCTCACAGTTGCTGTCTCGATTTCTCTATATAAGGAGCTATGAAAGGTCGGATGGATTTAATAATTTCTAACTTTTGTCTGGCTCCGCCGGGGGCCAGGGATGTCCTTTTTTACGATTTAACTGTATGAATTGGTACTAATTTATGTTAAGTTTAAGTTGGATGGGTTAATTTTGTGTTAAATAATGTAAAAATGTTGAAATTTTAGGTTTTTAGAAGAGGCGTGCTCAGTGAAACTACGTAACAACACAGGCACACAGCTTGCATTCATTATTCAACATCATCGTCACGGGCAAGTCTCTCTGCGAGTTATTTTATTAAAAATAATTAACATTTAAATAAATTTAATAATTTAAATGAATATTTACTAGAATATTTTTATAAAAATATTATTTAACTATTTATTTAGCCAAATTTTTGCTCTCCGAGAATGAGAATTTAAGACGTGTTTTGTCTAGACATGTTAGAAAATTATATCTATACACGCATATAACATATATATATATATGATTGTATATATATATATTATATGTATGTTATATATAATATATACGTATATGTTAGTTTCATATCACGATTTAATGGCTAGCTGGGTTCGCATATTTTACGGTGAAAATAAAACAATTTCTCAAGCCGGTTTTTAAAGAGCAATAAAATTTGATCAATTTGAGCTTTAATTTTTTTACTAAAGAAGTAAAAATTTATTATTATAATTATCATTATTACTAATTATATACACACATACGTTTTCTTGCTCAAGTATGCTACCTGTCTGGGTGCTAGTAGTAAGCAACGTAATGTAATGTAAGGTACTGCCATGTATCATGGTAACCTTAAGTAGTGTAATAATCCTAAGTAGTGTAATGTAATTTTGTAATGTGATGTAATAAGTAATGTAATGTAATTGTAATTTAGTAACTTGAAGTAATGTAATGTAAATGTAATATGTCATCATTACATTGTAAAGTAATGTAGTTTAGTAACCTTAAGTAATGTAATGTAATTTTAAGTATGTAATGTGATGTAATAAGTAATGTAATTGTAATTTAGTAACTTGGAGTAATGTAATGTAATTTTAAGTATGTAATGTGATGTAATAAGTAATGTTATGTAATTGTAGTTTAGTAACTTGGAGTAATGTAATGTAATTTTAAGTATGTAATGTGTAGTGTAATAAGTAATGTAATGTAATTTAGTAACTTGAAGTAATGTAATGTAAATGTAATATGTCATCATTACATTGTAATGTAATGTAGTTTAGTAACCTTAAGTAATGTAATGTAATTGTAATTTAGTAACTTGAAGTAATGTAATGTAAATGTAATATGTCATCATTACATTGTAATGTAATGTAGTTTAGTAACCTTAAGTAATGTAATGTAACTTTAAGTATGTAATGTAATGTAATAAGTAATGTAATTGTGATTTAGTAACTTGAAGTAATGTAATGTAAATGTAATATGTCATCATTACATTGTAATGTAATGTAGTTTAGTAACCTTAAGTAATGTAATGTAACTTTAAGTATGTAATGTAATGTAATAAGTAATGTAATTGTGATTTAGTAACTTGAAGTAATGTAATGTAAATGTAATATGTCATCATTACATTGTAATGTAATGTAGTTTAGTAACCTTAAGTAATGTAATGTAACTTTAAGTATGTAATGTAATGTAATAAGTAATGTAATTGTGATTTAGTAACTTGAAGTAATGTAATGTAAATGTAATATGTCATCATTACATTGTAATGTAATGTAGTTTAGTAATCTTAAGTAATGTAATGTAACTTTAAGTATGTAATGTAATGTAATAAGTAATGTAATTAAATTCTAATTTAGTAACTTGAAGTAATGTAATGTAGTTTTAAGTATGTAATGTGATGTAGTAAGTAATTTAATGTAATTTTGTAACTTGGAGTAAATTAATGTAATTATAAATATGTAATATGTCATCATTACATTGTAATGTAATGTAATGTGATGTAAGTTATCTAAGCAAGGTAACAAAGACCTGAGATAATCAAAACCATATGTAACTTGCAGTAATCAGTTGATCAATGCAATAATCATCATTAATTATTAATGTCAGTTTCAGTTGTAAGTTACCGCATCGGCATTACGTGATGTGTTATTAGTTATTTCATTGTTATTATTAATTGTTTGTTTGTTTGCATGCTTGTTTGTTTGTTTGCTTGTTTGTTTGTTTTCTTGTTTGATTTCACTTTATAACATACTTGCATCCCTGCTTGCAATCCCTAGTGTCTATACAGCATGAGTTATGGCGTTAACAGAAGAGTAACTTAAACAAAACATGCAGTATCAGTACTTCAGCTACATAGTCGGTGATTACTGACTCTATTGTACATCCATACATCTCTCAAGTTAGTAGTAGAAGAAGAAATTATTGTATGAGTATTCGTGCACACGCACGCACACACAAACATGCACACACACACACACACACACATATATATATATATATATATATATATATATGCATGTATATATAAATTTGATGACAACAGCAAATTTTTGAAGTGTAATTAAAATAAGCAGTACATAGTTAGATTAGCATGGTGGTTGTTGTTATTATTATATGTTGTATGTCTATATACTATTATTATTATTATTATTATATATTCAGCACCTAACTATATGGGCAATAATATTTAAATAATTAAATACATTTTTTAATAATTAATAATAATTATTATGGTAATTGGACATTTTAAATAGACTGTTGAGTGGAAAAGAAAATAATAATGTTAATTAATAATAGTAATGTTGATTCTTTCACTACTACAGCTACTACTGCTGCTGCTACTATTACTGCTGTTGCTACTACTTCTACTACTGCTGCTACTACTACTACTACTACTGCTGCTACTACTGCAGCTACTACTACAAACAATGACAAAAATAATAACAATTATATTATTGATAAATATAGCATAATGATAAGAATGATTAATTATTGCTAATGGTCATTGCTGTTTTCCGAAATAAATGCTCATACAATCCTTCAACTCTCCCTCTCCCTCTCTCTCTCCATGTAACCACTGGCCTGGTTCTTAAGAAGGCAGTCTTGTAAAATAATAATAATAACAACAATTATACCAATAATAATTATTATTATTATTGTTGTTGTTATGAATAGTTTATAAATATCAAGCTGCCTATTTAAGAGCTATTTCATTGGTTGATGACATCACCATCATCATCATCAACGCCATCATTGGAAGAGGAAAATTATTATTATTATTGTTATTATTATTATTATTGTTATTATTATTATAATTACTATTCATTAGTTCAGTGTTCATCCGTTTATATCCTTCCATTCATCCATTCAATCACTAATACGGTAATTCATGTACTAGTTTTATTCATTTATTCATTCAATCACTTGATCAATCGTTCATTCATTCGTTGATTCATTCATTCATTCGATCGGCAACTCAAATATTCGTTCACTCACTCACTCATTCATTCATTCATTCACTCACTCATTCATGTATTCATTCATTCTTTACTTATTTCACCCAGTCACACATTTTAAGACGAGTATGCCAAGTTCTTCATTGGTCAGTTCTTCCTAAAAAAAAACTATGACGGTCATTTTGCGATCATCATCATCATGTGACGGTGGTGGTGATGATGATGGTGGTGGTGATGATGACGATCAAATGATATTGGAAGCTGCCAGTGGAAGGGCTATGCATTGAAGTCTCATCATCATCACCATCATATCATCATCATCACCATCATATTAACATCATCATCATATTGCAATCATCATCATTATCACTATCCTTATCACCGTAACGATATAACCATCGTCATCTTCATCATATTTTTATTTAACCGTTGTAAACATTTTCATGTGTTTTAGCTTCACTTTAATTGTCATTCATTCTTTTATTCGTCCATTCAGTCAATCATTCGTGGTGTTATTCATTCAATCATTGAGTAATTCATTCATTCATTATATAATTCAGTCATTCATTCATTTGTTAATTTATTCATTCAATTCTTCGGCAATCATTTTTTTCCATGTATTATTATTGGTCCACCAACTTGTTCATTCATCTGTCCGATCCATTCGAAATTCATTCATTCATTCATCTGTCTATTCGTATTCATTCATTCATTCATTTATTTTATCATCCATCCATCTATCTATCTGTCCATCCATCCATCCATCCATTTTTTTCATTTAAACAGCACACCTTTAACATTCTAAATGATTCAAAATAGCTCAGACAAGATCCAAACAAACAACAATAAAAATAATAATAAATAATAATTATAAATAATAATAAATAATAAATAATAATAATCACCACTTAACAACTTTATAATTAAACCAATTAGAATAACAATTACTTTTTAATTGTGTGCCATTATTGTTATTTTTATTGTTTTTATTATTATTATTATTATTATTATTATTGTGGAAATAATGATAATAATAAATAATTGAAGTTGTTCTTCCTGCTCTGTTTTGAGAGTTAATCTGTCGAAACTAGAAGAAAAATTGCTGAATTTTAAAAAATTGAAATGAAAATATCTCTAGTATTAGTAGTAGTAGTAGTGTAAGTGATGATAGTAGTAGTTGTATTAGTGAAAGTAGTAGTAGTATTAGTAGCAGTAGTAGTAGCAGAAGCAGTAGTAGTAGTAGTTTGAAGTTAACATGATGTTTTAAGGCAATAAAGTTAATATAACGCTATTATATGAAAATCTTCTTAGTCTCTCTTTCTTTCTCTCTTTCTTTCTTTCTCTCTCTCTCTTCTCCCTCTCTCTCTCTCTCTCTCTATGACTTGGGGCAGTAACTTTCGTCGTGATCCGGGCTCAGTGTTTGAATAAAAAAATGTTACAAATAATAATAATAAAAGATAATAATAATAAAAGATAATAATAATAAAAGATAATTATAATAATAATAATAAAAGATAATTATAATAATAATAATAAAAGATAATAATAATAAAGATATTTATACATGCATTTATATCCATGTATTTAAATCCTTTCGAGGGCTAGATGACGTCAATAAAGGATTTTCCAATCCGATCGTTTGTATAGTGCAATCTTTTTATTCAATTATAATTTAATTATATATGAATGAATGAATGAATATAGGAGGGTAATAAGTGCATAGTTGGAAAATAATGAATGAATTAATTAGTTGATTAAATAATGGCTAACAAAATATGAAAAACAATTATATCAGAAAGAATGAATGAATGAAAGAATGAATAAATGAACGAAAGAATGAATGAATGAATGAATGATTAAATGAACGGTTGATTGAAAAGATTGGAAGAAAAACAACTTTATGAATGAATGGAGAAATGAATGAATGAATGAATAAAAAAATGAATGAATGAATAAAAGAATGAATGAATGGATGGAAGAATGAATGAATGGAGGAACGAATGGGTAAATGAAGAAGCATGATAGGACCAACATAATCATCCCATGTCAACTAACCAAACAATTAAAATTAGAAGACACATACACACAGAGACACGCACACACACACAGACACACATACAAACACAATGTGGTTTCAAGCAAGTCAATTAGCATGTTTTAAGCAATAAAGTTAATATAGCGTTATTATATAGAAATCTCCCTCTTTCTCTCTCTCTCTCTATATATATATATATATATATATATACATATATATACATATATATATATATATATATATATATATATAATATGAACGAATGTATGAAATAATAAATATTACAAATAATACAATAATAATAATAATAAAATAATTTACAACCGAATCGAGGCAACATTGTCATTATTATTATTATTATTATTACCCCCCACCACCACTTGATCCAACTTAACTTTGACCTCTCCTAATTTTAGGAGTGGTCCTCTGGCGACCTCCTCATACTTTTTGCCGAGCCAGACGATCAGCGATTGGCGGAAGAACTTGGCGTTCATCGCTATGATTGGTTGCTGTGCGATTTAAATGTTCGAAAGGTTGATTGTGATTGGTTGCTGTGCGATTTAAATGTTCGAAAGGTTGATTGTGATTGGTTGCTGTGCGATTTAAATGTTCGAAAGGTTGAATGTGATTGGTTGCTGTGAGGTTTAAGTGTTTGAAAGGTTGATTGTGATTGGTTGCTGTGAGGTTTAAGTGTTTGAAATGTTGATTGTGATTGGTTGGTGTGAGGTTTAAGTGTTTGAAAGGTTGATTGCGATTGGTTGCAGTGAGGTTTAAGTGTTTGAAATGTTGATTGTGATTGGTTGGTGTGAGGTTTAAGTGTTTGAAAGGTTGATTGCGATTGGTTGCAGTGTGGTTTAAACGTTTGAAAAGTTGATTGTGATTGGATAGATACTTCCAATAGACTTTGATGATTGGTTGTCGAATGTTAGAAGTTAGATTTTGATTGGCTGAGTATCATCATAGATATAATGAAACAAAAATCAATGTCATCAGTCTTACTATTTTTATCATCATTATCATTATCATCATCATCATCATTATTATAATTATTATTATTAAATTAATTATAATTAATTATACTTACGGCGTCTTTGAATTTGGGATTCCTGAAACTGCTGACGAGGTGAGTGACCTGGGCATTCAGTATGTCAATCAAACCATCGTCTATGATGACCTTGTGTGTGTGTGTGTGTGTGGATGTGTAGGTGTGTGTGTGAATGTGTGTGTGTGTGGATGTGTGTGTGTGTGTATATGAGGAAGGATATGTGTGTGGATGTGAGGATATGTGTGTGTGTGTATGTGTGTGTGGATGTGTGTGTGCGTAAAACGATATTTGATTGGCTGACAAATTTTGCGCTTATTGGCATATGATTGGTTGAATGGTTTAGTGATTTACTTTTTAAATATTACGAAAAGACAAAAGATCATTAATCATAATGAACATCATCATCATCATCACAAACAGCATCATCATCAACACAGTATCATCACTCTAATCACTGTCTAATCTAAAAACGACAACGGTTCAGTGAAATTAGGAGATCGTTAAAAGTTCACTTTTAAACCAGGGATGTACATGTCGAGGATGTCCGTACTGAATTGAACGTAGGAGCGGGTGAACTGAATCGTATTCACAGTCAGCATTGTGAAACACTCGTCTGGGAACAAGAAAAATAAATAGAGGAATGAATGAATAAATGAAGAAACGAATGAACCAATGAACAAATAGATGAGTGGGTTGATGAACGAACGAACGAACGAATGAATGAATGAACAAATGAATGGATGGATAGGTGAATGAATGAACAAAAAATGATTGGATGGATAGATAGATGAATGAATGAATGAATGTATGAATGAAAGAATTATGAAAAAATGAATGAATGAATTATGAAAAAATGAATGAATATATTGACGGACGGATGATTAAATAAATGAATGAATGAACTATACAATCACAAATAACAACCGTATGAAAACTCCTTGATGCATTCGAACCCGAGACTGGCGAGATCATCTTCGAACCTCATGAGGGAGGCCCTGGTGTGGTAGTTCACCGGTTTCCATTGGTCATCCTGATGATGATGGCGATGATGGTGGCGATGATGATGATGGTGGCGATGATGATGATTAACAACACCACCAATCACAGGACAATAATGATGAAGATGACTACATTATTATTTTTTTTTAATTCGATTATTTGCCAAACAGGCGAGAGACCGTAACCAGCTATGACTAGCTCAACAAGTACAGCCAACCATAAAATAAAATGTTAAATATGAAGTGACAAAATGAAATTTCTGTGCATGAACTAAAATTCACAGAGTTGAAAATAAAGCATGAATGCTCCACACAGATATGAAATATTTAAAGTAGATGGAATGCTATTGTACAATTTAAACGTTAATATACAGAACATGAAGAAATTGGTCTAGAGTTTCCAGCCAATTCAGGGTTGCCTTTTTTGAATATTGGAATAATTTTTTGAAATTTAAAATCTCTCAGGAAAAACCCCAGAATTTAAAGTGGTGTTACAAATATGCGTTATTGGAAGGACGAGTTCATCAATGAAAATCTTAACTATGTACATACAGAAGCTGTCTTGTGATATTGATTTGTTTGGTTTGAAATTTTGAACTATTGAATAAATTTCCTGTGATTTAATGTCATCAAAATGTAAAAAATCAACATTTGATCTTGTCAATATTGTATGATCGGTGAACATGTTTCCGTCAAATTTATTTCGTACCACATTAACACTTTCGATAAAATACTAGTTTAAAAAGTTACAAATTTCTTTGCCATTCGTCATATGTAAATTATTATGTTTCAATTGTTTAATTTTCTGACGTTTAAAATTCCTTTAATCAGACTCCATTAAGCCTTTGTATCGTTACTGAGGGGGAGAAAAATCGGTTTTCATAAAACTTCGTTTGTGGGGAACATTTCGTTTTAGTGAAAAAATTTTGACAACATTTGTAAGTGGCAAGATTATTCTCTGTAGGGTTTTTAATGTACTTTTTATGTAACCAGTTTTTGCCTTTCAATAATTTTAATGCATCTCCATCGAACGACGACTTGTTTGTGGAACGATGTCTCTGGATATCTTTATAGACGCATGATCATCAAAAATGTTATCAATTACGAGATAAAAATTGTCACAACACTGATTCATATTATCACAGTTGAGGGCACAGTCCCAGTTTACTTTTTTTGATATTACGTACAACAACTTTTGAGAAGCTTCTCTGAAGTGTTGATGACTGTTTAATATTAAAGACCGAATTTTGGGACAGACAAAATATTGGGAAATGGTCTGATGTATCTAATGTTACTACACCACTGTGATGGCTTTCATAGACGTTGGTGAGAATGTTATTTAGCGATGATTTAGAAGTAATGGACACTCTTGTAGGCAAATTAATTAGATGGAAAAAACTACAACTTGAGAATAAATTTCGAAATATTAGTTTATTATTAGAACGAGCAATTAGATCAATATTGGAGTCTCACGCAACTTATGTAGGAGTCATATTATTCTTTAACAATAATCGTTATAATCATCGTCATCAACAACCACAACCACAACATCATCATCATCTCCACCAGCACTATCATCATCATCAACAACTACAACCCCCACTACCACCACAGCCACCACTAACGACAGTTCGATGCCTGATAGCATCCATCTGCGTGTCGCCAGCTTGTTGCAGCAACAGCTTCATGTTGTCGCCCAGCATCCTGTCCAGGATGAACAACATGTCGAAGCCCTGTTCCGCCAGCTGGTAGTGGTGGCAGTGGTGGTGTTTGATGGTGATGTTTGATGGTGGTGGTGGTGAAAATGATTGAACAAACAGACAGACAGACAACAACAACAACAGACCACTAAACAACATTTCCTGGCTTCGACGACACAACAGATAGACAAACAGACAGACAAACAAAGACAGACAAACAGACAAACAAATAGACAAACAAACAGACAGACAGACAGACAACAACAACAACAACAACAGACCACTCGACAACACTTCCTGGCTTCAGACACACAACTAGCGATGGTTGAGAAGTTGGATTTCGTGACGAAGACCTGAGCGTTGAAGAGGGAAACGAAGCATTCCAACTCATCCTTGCACCACAATATGAAAGCTGGATTATTATTATTATTATTGTTATTATTA